TTCAAATTATGCTGCGCTTTATGCATTTGCCCACTGCCATATTCATGTCATTTTCACTGTGTGCTGTATGTAAAATGAGTGTTACCATGGCTTTATTTGAAAAAATGTGATTCCAAATGCACACAAACTTCCCAGAATACTGAGTGCCCTGTTGGTTGCAGTGTTTACTTCCGTTTTAATTATATTTTGAATAAATATTTGTTTATTTGTGAAAAATGCTTAAAAAGTATAAGCATGTTTATTTTACACATTTATTTTTTTAATCCATTTTCAAATTTCTTAAATATTAATTAAAATAAATAAAATTATATCGGCTTTATCGGCCACCCTGCTTTCCATGATATCAGCATCGGCTGTCAAAAAACCAATATCGGTCGACCACTATGTTCCATGAAGATATTTTGTAAATTCTTAACGTAAATATATATCAAAACTTAATTTTTGATTAGTAATATGCATGGCTAAGAACTTCATTTGAACAACTTTAAAGATGATTTTCTCAATATTTAGATTTTTTTGCACCCTCAGATTTTCAAATAGTTGTATCTCGACCAAATATTGTCCTATCCTAACAAACCATACATCAATGGAAAGCTTATTTATTCAGCTTTCAGCTTTCAAAACATTGACCCTTATGACTGGTTTTGTGCTCCAGGGTCACATTTTGGTCACTAGAGTCGTGATATGCACATTTCATACCGTTTCATCTCTACATGCAATTTAGATGGTAAATTTATTTCCTTTCAATCCGATCAGATCAACGTGGGACTTCTGATCCTCTCATTGGCCGGTTTCCTGTTGCCGGGATACTTGTTCTACCACCGCAGACATCTGCTTCAGATGAAGGCCGCGGGAAAAGCAAACGGACACATGCCTGTTGAGAATCAAGCGCTAAACCAGCCGCTGACCAACGGACACAGCAACGGTCACGTCCCGCAGGAAGCCTAACAGAGCATCACAGGACTGTCACGGGACCGTTCACATTTCAACATGCAATGGCAAACTCTGCCATCCTCATTAAACATGCAACGTTTATATTTTTTGTTGTATGAGAGACATTCGGCTGATGGCTGCAGAAGCAAACATCAGATCAGTGTTGTCTTCTTCGATGATCAGCTGATTCAGAATATGAGTATTTGTATAAAAAATCTGGAAATCTGCCTGCGAAAACAATGCAGTGTTTTTAGAGAGAATTTTTATTGAACCATTGGCTGGGATTGACGGACATGAACTTCCTCAGCCGACGGCGCTTCGTCTGTCTGTTCAGCGTCTTCACCAAAGAGAAAGAGCGATGGTTGATTGTTGTATAATAGTGTCTGTTTATGTCTTTTGAAAACTTGAGAAACAGTCAACATCAGCATTTCAGCTGCCACCAAAGACACCACTTTTTAGAACCTTAGGTTCACTACATCAAGTGTTATCCAAAAGCTAAAACATTTCAGGCAGATTTAACGAGATTTTTATAGAGAAACAGAAATGATTTTTTTTTGTGTGTGTGTTTGTGTTCAGCTTTTCTGTGCATTTTAGTTTCATAGCCACTGAAATGGAAATTTATTTTTGTATTTCTGTGAAGATGTGCTCTATAAATAGTGTGAGGTTTCTTCATGATATTTACGTGCTTGCGGGATGGGTTGAGTGGGTTTTGTAAAGGTCAGGGTGCAGCCGAGAGGAACCGATGAAGTGCTTACAGCAGTCTCTCTTTCAGATGTTGTGTGTGAGTCCAGTGCCTTATGTTATTATTGAATGTCACAATTCCAATCTCACCATGAGAGAAATGTGGGAAACCAAAGACTTTCTTAGACACGGATGCAATAATCCATATGGGAGCAGTGGAGAATGTGCGAGAGGAAGAAAGCATCAGAGTGCAAGAACATCAGATTTGAAATAGCAAAAATAAAATATGCAGTCAGTCATTGTGAATTATTCACTTGAGTCTTGATTGAGTTCACTTGAAGCATGTCTCCATCTGGTGGTGCCTGCGATATAAAAAACTAGCCCGAGCGACCATCAAGTCCTAAGTATTATATACTGTATTATAATATTTTTTAATTAGCTTTTATTTGAGTTTAAGCTTCAGTAATTGTGTGCGTTTTTCGTATTTCTATTTAGTAACTTCAGTAATTAAACTTGTTTAATTTCAGTCAGTTGCCAATGCAACAGTTCTAAAAGTTCTAATCTAGAACTAGATCTTAGTTTCATCAAAGTTTTTTTTTTTTTTTTGGTTATTTCAGTCAAGGAAAATGCATTTAGTGTTTTTAATAGTCTTGGTTAACAACACCAGCACTGGTTTTATTCAAGCAGAGGTGTGAAGTCTTTGAGTAAATGTAATTAGCTACTGGACTTGAGTATCTTTTTGGATACTCTGTAGTTTTACAAAGATATTAGCAACTTTTACTCTCTACTTCACTACATTTTTTAATAAGCACCTGTACTCTTAACTCTAGTTTTCTTTGACTAGTGCATCTTTGAGCCTATATATAAAGTAAAATACTTAAGTACTGTTAAAATCAGATACTCTAAGACTTTTACGCAAGTCATTGTAACTGGTGACTTGTAACTTGTAATAGAGTAGTTTCACTGTAAGGTATCTGTACTTTTACTAAAGTATGGTTTTCAGGTACTCTGTAATCAGGTTAAATAATTTTTTACAAAACTGATAGGCCTATAAATACAAGACTTATAGAGTTTTAAAAAAAAGCGCAAATATAAGTGCATTTAAACGGGAATTACAAATATAAAAATTATGTTATATGCACTGTCTGTGACTACAGAACCATGAATGAAAGTATTAAATTATAAACAGAAATCTGAAACTTCGAATGCGTGTCAAGTTAAAAGAATTTCAACTTTTACGCACTGACGCTGCTTTTCATTGACTCTCATGCAAGCAAATCCGCCTTCAGTAGCCTACCAGGAGTATGATTTTTAGGATATTACACAGCATTTTGGCTTTACACTAAATCTGGGGCAGCTCATGAACAAACAATTTAAAAAATACTCACATAATCAATTTTTCTTACCATTATTGTAGTTAATAAATCGGCTTATTTGTTTGTAAAGTGCTGTTTTCTGTCAGAAATAATGACAAAGACTGTAATAAATCATCCACTAGAAAAAAAAGCCTCAGAGCTGTATTCAAAGCTTCACTCATTCATGAAATGTAGAGATTCCAGACCCTCGAAACTCGAACGCTGTTATTCTGCTCTAACCGCGCGTGCTGTGTTTTTACTTGCGGTGTGTTTAAAGTGAGCGCATGACGGTAACGGGTCCAACTTAAATATGTACATACATTTCAGGATGTGGTGCATCCTTGGGAATAATCACTTTGGATCTAAAATAAACCGCAAGATATGCCTTTCCAAAATAAATGTGGTCTCTTGGCTCAACTTGCCCCCATTCAGGGGTAAGTTGAGCCACATGGAGTTAAACTGTGCCATTGATTGTGCTGAAGTAAAACTGAACATTGCTATCTCAAAAGAAGAGAGATTCAGTAAAAATGACTGAGGCTTGTGATGGACTGAGCATCCGTGCCGGGAGTTTCCTCACCTGCGGCTCAAGACGCTGGGTTAAGAATCCAGCTCCCCGCAGCTTTAACAAGCACAGAGAGCTTTGGAGGATAGAATGGATGGATGGATGACTTCTGAAAAGTTTTATTTAAAGATACAGTTCACAACTTTGAAGGCATTTTTTAAATTATTTAAATTTTCAGAACAAAATAAGGTTAAAATTGAATAATAATAGGCCTAATAATAATAATAAAAAATAATAATGCAAAAAATAAATAAACTGCAATTGATCTTACAGAACTGGGCTAATAGTACTCAACATCCCACTTATAAATATTGCAGGGAAATATAATTTCATAAAACTTCAATGGCCAATTTTTATAAACAAGGCCACAGACCCCTAACATTTGAACAAGCTTGCATCATCCAGCAGATTAGATCTAACAGTATAGCCTCATATTATAGCCTCCTGAAGCACAAACACGTGTGGTATTTTTTCAGATTTGTCTGTAATTGTTCAGACACAAGAAGCATGAGTTCTTGAACATTAAAAAAAATCACTTTGAACAGTTTTTTACCAATTATTCCACAGGCCTCTCTCCATCACCGGGTGAGTAAAATGGAAAAATCCTCATATATTTGTGGCCACATCACCGATTTTCTCTAAGGTTGTCTAGAAACAAGGGGTGGCTCAACTTGCCCACAGGCTCAAATCACCCCGCTCTCGTCTAGATGCATCTCCTTTTTTTTTCTCAGAAAAAGGTACAACAGCTGTCACTGGGACGGTACCCTTTCAGAAGCTACTAAAGTGCACCTTTTAGGTACTGATGTGTACCTTTAGGGATAAATACAGTACAAAGCTGTACCTTTTGAAAAGACAAACCCAGCAACAGATTGTGTACCTTTTTTCCCCGAGAGCGTGATCTCAGAAACAGTTTTGCATATTTCCAGACACTTCAGGAACTTAACAGGAAATGTTTTTTAGTTTTTTTAATAGAGCAATGTTATTTAACACTACACTAAAAAAACAATGTCTGATAGTCTTTGTTCAACACTGCCCTCTCCAGACTAGATAAGGATTTTAAAAGACGTTTTATTAGATTCCACTCACTTCTAGTTGATGTTATAGCGGAGCATAAACGGAACGAATTATTTTGTCTATATCAATGTGTGATTTTTTAAGAATTTAGTACTTTTCCATGCATGCGGCTTTACCAAAATCTGACCAGAGCCCCATACTGGGTAAACTAGTTGTTTGGAAATAATAAACCTTTGGAAATAATGACTTTAATGCAGTCATTAAAGATGATTCACATTTTGCTTGTGCTCATTCTCCAGTCATGTACAATATATCATTTGTTATAGTTGCTCTGTTGCTGTGGAAAAAGTTCAATTGAAGCATGTGTAAAGAATAAAGTTTATTCATTCAGGTTTTCTTTACAACCAGAAAAAAAAAGGCAGAAATCTTCAACAATCAGTCTTTGTAAACATCAAACACACTGGTCCATATCAGGGTCTCTAACACTGTTCAACATTCTTCCATGCACTCACACACTCTCACACACACACGCACTCTCACACACGCTCACACTCACACTCACACACACACGCACTCCCACACACACACACTCACACGCACTCGCACTCTCACACACTCACACACTCTCCCACACACACACGCACTCTCCCACACACACACTCACAGACACACACACTCTCACAGACACTCACACTCACACACACACACAGACACAGGTTCTATCTCAGGCTGTTGGGTTGAGATCCAGTGAGACCAGGATGATCAGGACTGTGTCGATTCTAAGAGAAAAAGCAGTACAGTGAAACCAGATGTTTTAAAATCATGCACAGAACACAAAGGCATCTGCAAACAGGATTGTTTATATGCTTTCTCATTGTTTACGTAAAAAGCTGAGCTGATGAAGACTAGTCAATTCACTTTATATTCTTTAGACACGTACAACTTCCACGTTTCACATCATTATTGGCTGCTTTTATAATATAATAGCCTATAATAGTCTTGTTCAAGTAATTTGGACCGCTGGACTGTTGTAATCGTGCCCTGTGAGTCGCTCACCTTTTTCTTCTTCTTGTCTTTCTTTTTCTTCTTGCGATCAGGATCATCATCCCTCTTTTTCTTCTTCTTCTTGGGGTCAGAATCTGAGGGGGTCTCTGCACGGGAAGCACAGACGAGTTAGTTAATGCCCGTATGCGTTTGCGTGCATGTGAAATACATCAGGTTTGTGTGTCACCTGGTGGCAGAGGATCCTGAGGTCGGTGATGTCGGTATTTGTTTTTGCTCTTTTTCTTTGGCGGCTGTATGTGCATCAGTCTGTATTGCTCTGGAAGCTACAACACACACCAACACTATAAACACGAGGTTCTAAGATCATGTTTTAAATGTTTTAGACCAGTGGGCTTCTATCCTGGTCCTGGGGACCCACCACCGCTCTGCACGTTTTGCCTAGTCTCCCTTATCTGACACATTCAGTTCAGTTCATGGAGTCTCTCCTAACGAACTGATGATCTGAATCAGGGCATCAGTCTGTATTGCTCTGGAAGCTACAACACACACCAACACTATAAACACGAGGTTCTAAGATCATGTTTTAAATGTTTTAGACCAGTGGGCTTCTATCCTGGTCCTGGGGACCCACCACCGCTCTGCACGTTTTGCCTAGTCTCTCTTATCTGACACATTCAGTTCAGTTCATGGAGTCTCTCCTAAAGAACTGATGATCTGAATCAGGTGTGTTAAATAAGGGAGACATGCATGGGAGGTCCCCAGCACCAGGATTGAAAACCGCTGTTTTAGACAGTATGTTGGTCTAGGTTTACCGGGCCAGTGTGCAATCGAAATCCAGTGAGTAGAGCTCCCGTCAGCGGACTGAAAGAGTTTCCACAAACCGGAGGCTTTTCTATGAGAGAGCGCAGAGAACTGCCATCCTGAATCCCTGGACAGTCTATCATACCTGCAAGAGAGAAAACACAACTTACTATGATACTAACATCGCACAGGTACGTCTGCAAGAGGTCTGTTAAAGATGCTGTGTACAGACATCTGATAGACGTCTTTAAGATGTCAGTTTTACATTCAATCTAAATCATATAGACCTCTTCTAAACGTCTATTTGACATCTGATAGGAAACGTCCTATAGATGTATTGCAGATGAGCAAACACTATATAATGTTTGTGTATTTATACATATACACAGTACACACACATACATTATGTAAACAAACACACTAGTTCTGCCACACTCATATTTACTTCCAGATGAGCAAACACTATATAATGTTTGTGTATTTATACATATACACAGTACACACACATATATTATGTAAACAAACACACTAGTTCTGCCACACTCATATTTACTTCACCTGGTAGCTCTGGTAAAAAGTTGCTCAGTTTCTCCTTCACTTTCTTGCCGCAGAATTTATTAAACGCGTGTTCCAGACTGTAGTGCGTGATGAGGTTCGTGTTTCCCGTCAGGTCGCTTCCGACTGAATCAAAACAAACACAAAAGCTCATCCGGATGCAGTTTAACAAATTACATACCAGTATTACAAATCACACACACGCCGTACTGTATTCTTAAGCACTACTGACGTATTTACCGGGCAGTTCTCGTAGTAAATAGAAAGGTTCGTTCATAGCACCGGGTTTTCGCAGCGTAGGCCCCTCATCCCCGAGCTGTCCTGGAATCTGAGCCGCCACCGGCGCTTGGTTTGGCGGCATTGGCGGCGGAGGTTTTCCGGGGCCGAACCCCAAAGCTGCTGGCCCCGTGGGTGGCTGAGTGTCATTTTGTCCGAACAAAGTTGAATATATTTCCGTCATAACTTCTGAAACGAAATCATGCATATACAATTATATAAAACGTACACATAAAAAGATCAGATCGGCTGCCGGTTACAGGCGCATTGTGTTCAAGCGTCTCTGCTACAGGGTTGCCAGGTTTTCACAAAAAAACCCGCCCAATCGCGTTCCAGGGGGAGGAGGGTAAAATACTGTACACGTAAAACACGCGTTTTTGGTAGGGTTCCCCTGACTAAATTTGCATCCCAGGGGCTAAATATCACGTTATTTGAGTCGCTTCAACCCGCGGAAACAGCGTTAAAGCATAGACTGTAAAAAAAAAACAGGGTTAAAGTAGCCCAATTCCGCGGGAAAACCGCGGACCTGGCAACCCTGGTCTGCTACATGACATTATCAACATTACCGTAATGACACGATGATAAGCGCACTCTACTTGATAATGCAGTGATTGTCAACACCCTCTAGTGATTCACAGCACACCTCCAATTATTTATAATAAATTGTTATATTTAACTAATTTTACTATTAAAATGCCAAATCTGTCATATGCTTGTACTCTGGATTAAAACCAGGAACTTGACATACCTACACTGAAATGTCACTTGGCTTTTTTAACAAAAAAACTTATTTTACAGCCAGTTTCTGTTAATAAACAGGCTACAATTTAATAAACTTGAATTACTTTAATTTTATTAGTGTATTTATTGTAATAACCACAATATTTACCATGGTGAATATTGTTTCCACCAATATATTAAATACAATAATACAACTGTTAACACTTTAATCAATAATACAATGAAAAAACTGCAAGATTACGAAGGCTTCATATAATGCAGGAGATACCATATTTATATATTTAGAAACTTAACTGTAGTTACTATGATACTTTTAGAAATTCTAGTTGCCATGGAGATTTTTCATTTATTTATTTCTTCCATTGCATTGATTCCATTGTGATGTTTTTTTTTAATTTATTTATTCTTTATAGAGACACAATGAAACAACACTGTGCATAAGTGCATAAGACGTTTAATGAATAGAGTACACATTAATGAAAATCAAAATAAACCTTGCAGATGCACAATAAAATTATATTCAGGCTTCACTCTGGGATTAAAGTGTTCCGTCGCTACGACGGATTTCCGTCAGTTCATAAAGACTTGCTTCATTCCTGAATGAATCAGCCGTTCGAACGAATCAATTGAATGAATGATTCAGTGATAAAATCAGTGACTTGCCGCCCGCCATCTACTGGCGGATTTAGTTTAATTTTTAGCATATAATTTCAGTTATTTAAATCATATTTCTGCATTCAAAATTGTATATTAAAAACATTAACCTCAACATGAATTTATGAATTTAATTGCACTCATGCCCCCTCTGAAAATGTACCTACAAGCCACTTTTGTGTTCTTCTGAAAAGTGGCTTGTAGGTAAATTTTCAGACGTTTAATGAGGCTCAGAGGTGGCATGAGTGCAATTAAATTCATAAATTCATGTGGCGATTAATGTTTTAAATATACAATTTTGAATACAGAAATATGATTCAAATAACTTAAATTATAAGCTAAAAATGAAACTAAATCCGCCAGTAGGTGGCGGCAAGTCACTGATTTTATCACTGAATCATTCATTCAATTGATTCGTTCGAATGCTGATTCATTCAGGAATGAAGCAAGTCTTTATGAACTGACGGAAACAGCGACGGAACTTTAATCACTGTTCACTAAATCCAAAAAATGACCGTGGATGTTAGAGAGACCCAAAGTGTTCAGATGGGGAAAGAGTCGAGACGAAAGCTTCCAGATCTTCAAGTGATGCCTGCAGATGGACAAGAAGAGGCAAAGCTATGGCAATGAAAATGTGTGAGTGTATCAGTGAAATGATTTTTTGCTCGTACCCGCCATTCTTCCACTCCTGCGGCGATGTGCTGCTGTGTGTGAGCGATGTTCTCTCGGCCGGCCTGCACCTTCTGAGCAAGACCAGCGTTCTCCTTCTGGAGCTTCTTCAGCTGAATCCGCATGTACTCCTCCTGCTTCTTATAATACGACACTAAACCACTGCACACATCCTGCTCTGGAGCGCCACTTGGACGCCTGCAATATACAGCATGAGCCTCAACGACAGCATCGAGACACAGTACATATACAGGACTCTACTAAAAATGTTAATGTGAAAATAAGTGCGATAGTAGTGTTTAGAGATTTAAAGGTGCAGTATGTAATACTGACAGCTACTGCAGTCCAAATTTAAAATATTAAATAGAGATGCTTGCCCCGCCCCCTCTTCCTCCTCCTCAGAGTACTTGATGCTCATGTGGGTTGCCAGATTGTAGACACGCAACAGAATGAGCGCCAAGTTGATGAGTTAATTTATCCGCATTTTAATATGCCTCTGGTCATAGAGCGGTTTAGATGGATGCCGAGACTTTTTAGGTCGGGTTGAATCTGCGATCTCTGACTCAGTTCGTTTGCTGGCTTCCATGGCCGCAATACGCTGAGTTTTCCAGCAACTGGCAACCCGGAGTGTTGAAATACTATTGGGTAAACTGGCAGTGGGCGGAGTCACGCAGACCAAAACAAAAACAGACATTCCGACACGGAACGCACATTTCAAAGCAGAATAACTGCCTATAGCATTGATTGAAAATATTTTGGCCATTGCTTGTGTTTTTCGTTTTATTTTATTTTTTCATTATAAAAGACAATACGCTGTGGAGTCAGGTTATCATCTCACCATGCAGCTTGTGGTGTGTCTTTAGCAAGCTCCTGCAGTCTGTCCAACTCTTCAAACTTCACCTGCAGGTCTCCCTCCTCGATCACAGTGGAGATTTCTTTCTAAACACACACACCACACCACAAAACATCATCACTACTAAAGCACAAATGCATAGCTGAATGTTACACAGATCAATCCGTCATATTACCCGCATGTAATTTGTGAGATGACAGCCAACTCTGGACCACATTTTCCCAAAGGAAAGAAAAATAAATTTGATTCCATGGCGCTAGCAACGCCACTGTCATGGGTTCGATTCCTGGGAAATGCATGAACTGATAAACCTTGAATACAGTCACTTTGGGTAAAAGCACCTGGCAAATGCATAAATGTAATAATACCATGAGGCCTACGAATAAACTTGAACTTTACCATTTTCATTAGGCTACACCTTTTTTTGCATTACAGTAATAAGAATGCAAGAAGAAATGAGAAAATGTAATAATCCTAAAAAAATCCTGAAAAAAAGTATCACAGGTTCCAAAAAAATATTAAGCAGCAAAACTGTTTTCAACATTGATAATAAATCAGAATATTAGAATGATTTCTGAAGATCGTGTGACACTGAAGACTGCAGTAATGATGCTGAAAATTCAGATTTGATCACAGGAATAAATTACAGTTTAACAGATATTCACATAGAAAACAGCTGTTTTAAATTGTAATAATATTTTACAATTTATACTGTATTTTTAATTAAATAAATGCAGCCCTAGTGAGCACAAGATACTTCTGTAAATAAACTAAAAAAAAATTCAGCTTTGATCACAGACATAAATTACATTTTAAAGTACATTAAAATAGAAAACCAGTAATTTTTTGTATTTTTGGTCAAATAAATGCAGCCCTGATGAACAGAAGAGACTTTAAAACACATTAAAAATCTTACTGATCCCAAACTGTTGAACAGCAGTGTATATGTATTATATATTTGATTAAATTATAGGGCTTGTTTTTTTTAGGACAATAAGAGAGTAATGCAACTCTGCCTTTTTATTACACAAATACGTCAAATAAAATGTAACCAAAAAAACAAAACAAAAAACCACGATCTGATCACGTGACTTTAGCGGTTTGACCGACGCGCGATCCGAATCACTGACTCGGACACAAATGACTCGCAAAGGATTCGAAGCTTCACGAAGCATCACTAGCAGATGTTATTACCTGAACTAAAGTCTGCAGCTGGCTGATGAACTGTTTGTGCATGGCTTCGGTCAGCTGAGGCTTCTGCTTTGACAGGGGCTGGAAATAGTGGGAAAACCTGTCGAAACTGACACACAGAGCGGAACTAACTTCGTAAGAGGCAACAACAGCATCTGTTTGAACGCGAATGAGCTGTGTTTTATACCTGGCGTTGTCCAGCAGCCACTGCAGACTCTTCTCCATCACTTTATTGAAGAGTTTGAGTCTCGGTTTGGATTGCGATGCCTTAACCGAATCACTCCGACGAGCCGATGCTTGAGACGAAACATTCTCCACTTTATCCACATTAGTTTCAGCCGAAACAGATTCACTGCGACTCCTCCATCGCGCAGTAGATGTTTGTTTACAAAAGTCCCAGCCGAGGTCAAACGCATCACACTACGGCAAGCGAGCAGCCGCCGGTTTCAAATCGTTTCCTCGAAACGCGTTTCTATGGCCTGAAGGTTCACGTTACCACTCTCAGCTGTTCAGTGATCTATTTCTGCTCTCTCCTCACTTTACTTCAGCACATGGGAGTCTGTCATGCGTCTGCAGCAATGAGTTTAATTAGAGGACTGGTTTCCACTCTATACTGCCTTCCAAAGGTTCTGTGTTTTATACCTGGCGTTGTCCAGCAGCCACTGCAGACTCTTCTCCATCACTTTATTGAAGAGTTTGAGTCTCGGTTTGGATTGCGATGCCTTAACCGAATCACTCCGACGAGCCGATGCTTGAGACGAAACATTCTCCACTTTATCCACATTAGTTTCAGCCGAAACAGATTCACTGCGACTCCTCCATCGCGCTGTAGATGTTTGTTTACAAAAGTCCCCGCCGAGCGCAAACGCGTCACACTACGGCAAGCGAGCAGCCGCCGGTTTCAAATCGTTTCCTCGAAACGCGTTTCTATGGCCTGAAGGCTCACGTTACCACTCTCAGCTGTTCAGTGATCTATTTCTGCTCTCTCCTCGCTTTACTTCAGCACATGCATGAGTCTGTCATGCGTCTGCAGCAATGAGTTTAATCAGAGGACTGGTTTCCACTCTATACTGCCTTCCAAAGGTTTATAAATGGTTTTATCGACCCTATTACTCGCTGTCACTGCTGATGACCGTGGCGTTCCCCATCGTGCGCAGCTGTCCCGGACTCTGCGAGTATTTACCGTCTCAGAGAGAGGACAGCAACTCCTGCGCCTTTGACTGGGTCTGTGCTGATGTGCACTTGCTAAGCTGACATGATAGTTTACTGTTGCTTTATTGTAACACTTTGCACTTGCATGCATGCATGCATTCTGTGTGTACTGTCTCTTTAACACAGTCTCTAAGTGTATTTTATAAAATAGTGTCATAGTTATATAGTTTAAATATGTATGTAAGAACAGTACATTTGATTTTATTTATGCATTTGTTTAATTAAAAATGCAGTAAAAATTGTGAAATGTTATTACGATTTAAAACAGCTGTGAATATGTTAAAATGTAATTTATTACTCTGTATTTTCAGCATCATTACTCCAGTCTTCAGAGTCGCGTGATCTTCAGAAATCATTCTAATGATGATCTGCTGCTCAGTTATTATTGATGCTCAATTAATACCGGTTCTTAATGTGAAAAAGAGCTTTTGCTTCTTAATATTTGTGTGATGCATTTTTTTTTTCAGGATTCTTTGATGAATAAAAAGTTAGTTGATTTTTTGTAATATTATAAATCTCACTTTTTTCAAACTTTTTTTTGATCAATTGAATGAATAAAAGTACTAATTTCTTCTATTTTTATTTTTTTTTACCCCAAACCTTTGAATGGTATGTGTATCACGATTTCTGTTTTCAACATTGATAATAATCAGAGATGTTTCTTGAGCAGCAAATCAGCATATTATAATGATTTCTGAAGATCATGTGACACTGAAGACTGCTGAAAAATACAGCTTTGATCACAGAAATAAATTTCAGTTTAACAGATATTCACATAGAAAACAGCTGTTTTAAATTGTAATAATATTTTGCAATATTACTGTTTTTACTGTGTGTATATATATATATATGCAATTATATGTTTGCACACATTTTCAAACGTGTTTATATATTTGAATAACACGTGTAATTGCTCTGTGTAGAGGGAGGTGGAGATTTTAATGTTTCTCAGTGCTATTGTCATGATGAAGAACCGCAGAGCCAGTACGTTTACATGCGTTAAATGTGATTACATTCATCAGATTACACACACAATCACACAAGCTATTCATGAATAATATCTGCATTGATGCATGGTGCTTTCTTTAACTGAGGAGTGATCTCTCTCTCTCTCTCAGTAACACTGGAGCAGCACATAGGGAATATATTTCTCTTCAGTAAGGTGGCGAACGTGGTGCTGTTTTTTCGAGTGGATCTGAGACTCGGCCTTCTCTACCTCATGCTGTGTGTGGGTAAATAAATGATGGGAAGCGTGAAAACATGATTGCAAAAATAATCAAGAGCAAAAACTGTGATTCCGAACTGCGAACTACCGTGCCTTCTCTATACAGTGTTCCTTATCACATGTAAGCCACCAATCTACATGGGCCCCGAGTTCATCAAATACTTCAGTGACTCAACTATAGATGTGAGTAAAGCATTAAAGGAATAGTTCACATCCACAGGTCAGCCAAGATGCAGATGAGTTTTTTTCGTCATCAGGTTTGGAGAAATGTAGCATTGCATCAGTGTCTCAGAAACGGATGCTCTGCAGTGAATGGGTGCCGTCAGAATGAGAGCTGATAAAAACAATGTATTTTTGTCAGAAGCAATGGTTTAAAGTTAAAAAGTGATGGATTTGTTCTAGCTTTTGTCTTCTCTAGATGTTAACTGATGGACTGGAGTGCTGTGGATTATTGTGATGTTTTAATCAGACTCTCATTCTGACGGCACCCATTCACTGCAGAGCATCCATTGCTGAGACACTGATGCAATGCTACATTTCTACAAGAAACAAACACATCTCGGATGAACTGGGGATGAGTACATTTTCATGTTTATTTTTGGGTGCACTGTTCCTTTAAGATGTTTTCTTTCTTTTCCAATTGAACAATTTCTTATTTAAGACCATGTAATTTGTTATCATTTTTGTCCATTCCAAATTTTTCAAAAATGGTTTATTCTTATAGCGTATTATATTAATAGAAAAGTCATCATCCAAATCTTATATCTTACTCTATAATATACAAAAATTAAATATTGTCTTATTATGTCAGAAACTGAGACCTTTATCCTCTTATCTTATCCTAAACTAATCATTGTGCATGTTTTTCTGCGTATTGTCAGGAAGAGCTGCAGAGGGACGGTCGTGTGACATGGATTGTTGAGTTTTATGCCAACTGGTCTCCAGAGTGTCAGACATTTGCTCCTATTTTTGCTGACCTGTCACTCAAGTAAGTCACACACACTTGCACTCTCGCACGTCTTCACGAGGTTAATGACTTTATGTTCACTAGGTATGACTGCTTAGGCCTCAAATTTGGAAAAGTGGACATTGGACAATATGCAGCAGCTGCCGAGAGGTGAGTCTATTTGCCTAGTGTCTTCCTTTTAGCACTTGCCTTACTAGTTGCATTTAACTTTGCAGTCCTATGCTCTCATCTCGTTACAGGTATAAGGTAAACCCCTCGCCGCTCTGCAAGCAGCTGCCTTCTCTGTTGCTCCTGCAAGGCGGTCGAGAACTCATGCGCCGCCCGCTAGTGGACATAAAGGGACGAGCCGTTGGGTGGAACTGCACTGAGGTAAAGCGCTTCAGAAGTCTGACACTCTTGAGAAAGATGCAGTAACGGATTACATGTAATCTGGATTATGTAATCAGGGGCCAGTTGCATAAATTTAGCCTCTATGTTAAGACAGTGTCTTAGAACCAGTTTGACTATCTAGCACTTAACCAAGGGGTAATCAGTCTTATATTTTGGATTCAGCTTAGACTAATCTACGTTTTTATGCAACCGAATTAAAACATTTTTGACCAGTCTTAAAGAACAAAATGAGATGACTAACTTTTAAGACTAGTCTAGTGCTGGGGAGCACTATGTAGGCATCATATCCAGCGACCTTCAGTAACTGTTGAAGTCTGGACAAAAATATTTGCTCTGGGTGTGTAATGTCATTACGTTTTTCATGTTTATTAATGTTTGTTCATGTAATGCAGGGATTCCCATACGGGTTTTTTTTTTTTTCAACCAAACCTCTTAAAATAAAATATTTACTTGAAATATCTCTGAGGAAGTTAATATTGGAATAATTTAACAATTTGCATGTTTACAGTTCTCTGATGTCGGTTAACGGTCGCATTGACACGCAGGTAAACAAATCAAATATTTCTCTGTTTAGTCTTCAAGTGTTTTTCAGTTTATTTTTATTTTACATTTTTATGATTTAATTAATTGTTCGTTTTTTTATCAACTCACAAACCCTCTGCAGTTCAGCCCAGTTTGGGAAACCCCGGTGTAATGTCATGTTTAATGCATTTTATGACGTTTATACCAAAAAAAATTCTCTTTGCTTTTTATATCAATATGGTACATCTAATGGTAAGTTTAAACAAGTTTGATTAAAAAAAGTATTCTAAAAAGTAGTCAGACTACATGACCTAATATGTAACCCTGGAGCACAAAACCAGTCATAAGGGTCAATTTTATGAAATTGAGATTTATAAATAATCTTTCCATTGATGTATGGTTTGTTAGGATAGGACAATATTTGGCCGAGATACAA